ATGTAAAAGAAACATGAAGCAAACACATGCACAGCTTTATTAGGCTTGTATTTCTAAGGCGTCCACATTATTTTTTCAACAGTGTGACTCTAGACTTTAATGACTGCATAAGAATGGCATCTGTTTAGCTGAAAGTGACAACTCTGCAAGTGAAGAGAGTTTAACATGATCACTGTGCTGGAAGTAGGTTAAAATACTGGAACTTTTCACATTGCACATCATCTCTCTCACACACACTCACGAGCACACACACACACACTCTTCCCTCACATTTCTCCATCTAATTTTTTTCTATTTCAGAGGTTTTGAATATGAATATAAATGTAGGAAAACCCTCCTGGGATGACTGATGGGATGGCTGGAGCATGAAAACATCAAAGTTTTATCAAGCTGTCCACCATGAGGCAGAAGGACTCTTTCTCAGATACAGAAGATGATTACATGTTTTATCAAGAGACCTAGTTATTATTTTACTCCTAGCATTTGTAAATGTGTCATTCTGGATATTTGAAACAACTCCCTGATTTCCAGAAATCAGGGTTAGATTAGATTCAAAGAGTAAATTACTAGCAGGATATGATTACCTTAGCTTAGAAACAAAACCAGGGCAATCTACTGGCCTAGCCTTAACGTAGGAAATATCAGTTTGTTGCAACTGTCATGCCAGTACATGTTCCCAAATAGTGATTTCCAAATTTTGGTTTGTTTTTCTTTTTTTTGTTTATATTGGTAAATAAACTGTAGTTAACAGGATGTATGAAGAGCTTGTATAAAATAAATAAATATATATATAAATCACAGAAACGACTAGTTTGGGGAGTAACTTTATGAACCACTTGCAATATTTTTTTAAAAAACTATATGTTATACTTACAGCACTTCAAAAAATACATTTCTAAAGTTAATGAGACTTTGATGACTGTGAAACTTGATATCATGCATGGTGACCAGCATGGTGACTGTTAAGCTAAGCTAAGCAATCAAGGTTTTTATAGCAGTGTTCACCAGTGGATCCAGCCCCCCCCCATTCTCTCTGGTACTTGAAGCCAAAGTTACTTTACTAGAATAGAGTAAAATGACATCTGTGTGTGTCTGTACCTAGCTCAGTTAACCACACTGCCACAGCGCCGTAGATTTCATCCAGAATCAAGATAACCACGAGGTTGATGATGACCGCGGTGGCAGTGACTGTCACCCGAACATTGTGCCTGATCTCCGGGTCAGGGCTCATCGCCATGATCGCAGAGATTGTGATGCGGTAAATGATGACGCCGAAAACTGCAGAAAATGTCAGCGCAAACTGGGAGCAAAAACACAAGCAAAGGAAGAGTAGTTATTACTCAAATCGTTATAGAGCAATGGCTAGACTTATTTTGCTCTCACACTTCAATTCTGAGAAAATGAAACTGCTAGGCTAGATCAGATGTAACCAAACCTTATTTTAAAATCATACATATCTCAGGGAGGGGGATAGTAATGTTGAGAAACACGTGCTTAAAGTGGTAACTTTAGAAGGAAAAAATGTGCGCTTTGGTAAGTTTGAGCTAAAAGTATTTCTTTACTGCTAAATCCAACTGGAAAGAAGGATCTAATTGTATTCTGTTATCCGCTGTTGCTTGATGAGGTCAATCCAACCTTATAAAGTCAAATGGATCTTAAGAAAAAAAGGAATCCTTTTTATTCCCAGCTCTGCATATACATTTTTCTCATCCTACACTGGCCCTGAAACACATTTTTAAATACTCACCATGAAGAGGATAGAGGATACATTTATCAAGTATCCGGGAAGGCGATCTTTCCAGGTCAGCTTCTCTATAGGAGACTGACAGAAAGAACAGAGGAGGACAAAAGAGGGAAAATTCCAAATCAGTCATACAGGAATCTGTGGATCTTTAAGTTTGTTTTTAAATCTGTCATCCAGAACAGAGAGCCTACAGAGACGTCTTAAAAAGAGAGAAACACAAAGCTGTTTCCTCCTTTCAAATGGTTTGTAAAACTGAGTTTAGAGCGAAACAAGCAGCCAGTGAATTTCACACGACCACGGGGAACATTACCACATCTCAGCACAGACATAAGGGAGCATATAAATGTGTTTTACTGTACGCAGCCTAAATTCAAACACTAGCTTGAGGACATTGTTTTATTCCAGAGAATCTCTAACATCCAGATGACTCCCAGCTGATTCATCCATTCTCCCAGGCATTAACCACATTAACTGGCTTCTACTTTGGAGCAATTTCAGGTGTAAGAAAACACAAGTATCTGCTTTCTTGCCAAGATTCAGATAGGAAGATTGATTTCTACAACCTCAAAAACCAGGTTACAGCCAGGAGACAGTCGCAATGCATAATTTAAGTGCTAGGAGATGACAGAAGGATCTAGTTTTGCCCAGCTACTAAACCCTGTGCAAACAAAAGTCTCGCCCGGAATGTCAGAAATTTTAATAATGGAAAGTAACCTGTACAGTTGCAGTTTACAGTGGAACAAAACCCGCTGTCAAACTGTTTCAAATCTTCCACTCCCAGGTGGTGCTTATAGGCATATGGAAATAATGCATACATGAACATCTTCACACAGTGATAGGAAGTCAGTTTGCACACACAGAACTGAGTGGATCAAAACCCTGTATACTCTGAAGAGGGATTATGCAGCCTGGCAGTGCAATGGCACCATCTAGTGAATATGGTGGCATTGTACACCCTGCAATACAAGCTTTTTTTAAAAACAGAAACAGGCAAATATACATATGAACCGTGACGAATAAGCTTATACAGTGGGCTGAAAGAGGAGTGTTAGACATTTAATCTGAGATTTAGAGTAAGACACCACCTCTAGGTGTCTTACAAGGTTCAAAATAAGGATTTTGAACCTTGTAGAATTAAAATGAAGTACACATTTCTGCATGCAAGGACACATTTTGACATTTATTAGAACTACATTAATACTGGTCTAATTGCTTCAACCACTCAAGAGTTCTGCCCTTTAGTCATCTGAGGACCTCTTGGTTTTTTCACTAAATAGTAAATGCACATTTAGACAGCCTTAACCATTAAAGCATGTTTCTTTCATACATCATTAGGTAGTCCTTTTGGTTGCTCCAACATTTGCACTGCAGATCTGGGCTGTGTATGCTACATTCAAGTTATGTTTTTATAAAATTAATGTGTTTTTCAAGCCGAATACAAACTTTAAGAGACACATTAATTATGAGGTGTTAGCCATGTAAATTATTGGATTACAAACAAATGTCTTAAATGTGAAGTTTTTTTATTGTCACTTCAGTTCTACAACATTGTTCACTTTGCAGCTTTTGGCAAGTATTCCCAGAGAGACAGTGAGCCCAGAAGCCTTTCACTTGGGGTCAGGTTGTAGGTTGTTCGCTGCTGATTGAAGACCTATAACAAAAAAAAGACATCTAAGTAATTTTAAAAACCCAATTCTAATAAAGTTTTAGTTAAAAATGAGAATTTGCTAAGTAATAAGTAAGACTAAAAGTTAAAACAGAGACTATGACTTTTTATATCTCTCTGGCATTCTGGATTAGACTCCACCTGACTGGTTCTCCATTGTTGTGTTT